CAAAGTTTCTCAGGAGAACCCAAAGTTTCTCGGGGGAGCTCAAAGTTTCTCTCGGGAGAACCCAAAGTTTCTCGGGGAACCCAAAGTTTCTCGGGGGAACTCAAAGTTTCTCGGGGGAACCCAAAGTTTCTCGGGGGAACCCAAAGTTTCTCGGGGGAACTCAAAGTTTCTCGGGGGAACCCAAAGTTTCTCGGGGGAACCCAAAGTTTCTCGGGGGAACTCAGTTTCTCAGGAACTCAAAGTTTCTCGGGGGAACCCAAAGTTTCTCGGGGGAACCCAAAGTTTCTCGGGGGAACTCAAAATTTCTCGGGGAACTCAAAGTTTCTCGGGGAATCCAAAGTTTCTCAGGGGAACCCAAAGTTTCTCGGGGGAGCTCAAAGTTTCTCTCGGGAGAACCCAAAGTTTCTCAGGGGAACCCAAAGTTTCTCGGGGGAACCCAAAGTTTCTCTCGGGATAACCCATAGTTTCTCGGGGGAACCCAAAGTTTCTCGAGGGAGACCCCAAAGTTTCTCGGGGGAACCACAAAGTTTCTTGGGGGAACCCAAAGTTTCTCTCGGGAGAACCCAAAGTTTCTCGGGGGAACCCAAAGTTTCTCGGGGGAGCTCAAATTTTCTCTCGGGAGAACCCAAAGTTTCTCGGGGGAACTCAAAGTTTCTCGGGGGAACCCAAAGTTTCTCGGGGGAACCCAAAGTTTCTCGGGGGAACTCAAAGTTTCTCTCGGGAGAACCCAAAGTTTCTCAGGGGAACCCAAAGTGTTTTTTACCTGTAATTGCTGTATTCTGTGAAGCAGTGAACACTGTTTTCAGGAAGGAAGTTAATGTGCACGACACGTGTCTGATCCGAATGAAGCTGGTCTCAGATCAGACTGATATTATTTTTACATGAACTTTATTGTGTTCGATCTCATAATCAGAATATCACTTTCAGAAGTGTTTCCTACACAGTCAGCATCACCAAACACCACTCAGACTCATGACAATATAAAGCATACGCTGTGGGAAAGTGAGTGAATCACTGAATATAGGTCATGAACAAATGATTTCTGTGTGAGGACAAAGGCTTTTCTCTTTAAGATCCTGATTTCTTATCAACGGATTACTGCCGATGTCTCTGTGATTTCTGACCATCTGCACACACATCAATCCCTGATGAGAAACAGAGCCATAGGAAAGCTAACAGCAGCAAAAACACACAGATTCCCATCAGTAACATATACAAATATACAAACAAAATGATTCACTCAAAAGTGCTAATAATCATTTAGAGAAAGACAGATTCACACAACAAATCAATCTCAAATCAAGGTTTGTATGCATATCTTCTTCATTCTTCATGCTCTAATAATAATAAATGCAGTGTAGCAGTAACGTGAGGCCAACGGAAATAAGGATAGTGCCGTGATGAAAGCTGAAATAACACCAATAAGTCTGGAAAATGATGAAAACGTCAAACAACAGACAATTTGCTTATATTTGAGCTTCTTTGCCTAGAGTCCAGTGTTATTTTAATGTCATTTAAATACCATCATTGTTTTCAACGTTGATAATAATCATAAATGTGCCTGATGAGAAACAGAGCCATAGTAAAGCTAACAGCACCGAAACAAATACACCATCATTAGTCTACAAACACAGATGTAGTGTGTTACTCGTGTCACCTGGATCATCCCTGTGCATGAAAACTAAAATGAAAAAAGAATTCAAAATATTAAACTGTAATAGTGTATCTCAAAGAATTGCCTCCATTTACCTTGTGTGTTAAATTGCTTTTAAAAACCCAATATAATATAATAATATAATATAAAACACTATATAATACAAATATTATGATCCGATTTATCTGTGATTCTTCCACTAGATCTAGTTGTGTCATAAACTAAGTTCACTGTTTTCGATCTGGTCTAATAATAAGCAGACACTTTTAAACGAAATAACTCATAATCACTTATTACAAACAAACTGGATTTGAAAGCATTGCGACCTTCAGTCAGCAATAAGCCAGTCCACAGCCAGAACCCACAGAGTCCACCAACACAGAACAGATGTAGCGCCGCGCTTTCATTAGTTCAGTTAATAAAGGCCCGTCTATCTCTGAAACAGCAGCCGAAGATTACAATCATAAATAACCTGGGGACAATCATGCTTTACACAAGCACAGTGCATGCTGGGAAATCTGCATGCATTCCCAGAGACTCTGGTGGAGCATTTACAATATGAACAAGGTGTCAAATAAAAGCTGAATATTATGGGATAAAATGATTCACTCAAAAGTGATATAAATCATTCAAAGTAAGACTGATTTGCACAACAAATCAAGCTCAAATCAAGGTTTGGATGCGTATCTTCATTATTCACGATGAAAGCATAAATAAAACACGTTGTGATGAAACGTGACGCAGATGAAAATTTTTTGTCACGATTCCAGTGTTATTTTAGTATCTTTCAGATACTATTATTGTTTTCATCACTGATAATAATCATAAATGTTTCTTGATCATCAGATCCTCATATTAGAGTGATTTCTGAAGGATCGTGTGACACTGCAGACTGGAGTAAAGATGCTGAACATTCAGGAATAAATTACACCATTCACATAGAAAACAGATGATTTACATTCTAATAATATTTTGTGATTTTTTTACTGTATTTTTATTTAAAGAAATTCAGCTTTGATCACAGGAATAAATTCACATAGAAAACAGATGTTTTACATTGTAATGTCTTTGATACAAGCAGCTTCTGCTCACCAGCATTTATTTGATGATGAATGCAGGAAAAATAGTGAAATATTATTACAATCTCTTATTTATTCCAGCATCTGAACGGTTGGTGTGTGCTGATGACAGATGTGGTTTCTGTGAGCTTAAACTGGTGCAATGGAGGTCACGCGCCGGATGAACACCTCGATGTGTCCTGACTCCTGAACGGGGAATAAAACAGCACTGGGAGCAAATCCTAATCCCGATCTTCCCATCTGCTGGTGCCATCAGAGCTAAACGCACAAAACCGCATGAAATCTGGGACATGCACGGTTTCAAAGGTCATTCCAGCTCACCTGAACCAATCAGATCAGACTTTCGTTTCAATGCGTAAAGTGCTCGTTCTCAACATGCATATATTTGCATATAAAAAGTGGAGCAATGCAAATTAACAATCACAATCCTGTGTTTCAGAGACTAGATATCTGAATCAACGAGATATATCCAGCTGCAGACCCGCAGCACCACCAGTTTCAGAACCCCAGCGCCAGAACCGGAAGTGAAGGAGGGGAGGAATTATTATTATTGCATTATAATTATTTTAGCAAGCATGTAAGGACAAACCGGGCCTTGAGTTCCTCATTTGATACATTGTAAGTTAAATTTAAACAAAATTGTTGTGATAAAACAGGCCTAGCTTGGGTTGAATTGGTCCTTTTGTATAGATCTTTAACAAAATAATGCCGAATTTTCTCTTTTTTTAGATTTTGATATTATTTTACATGAAAAATGCATGCTGCACATGTTCTTGTGAAATAAAGTATATTTTATAAAAAATACCCATGCTTTTTTTATTTATTTTTTATTAAACAATCAAAATCATCTTACAAATACATCTTCAATATCAAAACAATTTAAGATTTTTGTAAACACAATAAATAAATAAATAAATAAATAGAACATAAAATATCACAGAGGTCTAATGAGTTATCAGATTGTGTATAATTTTGAAAACCTCCAATGATTGTCTTGTTTTATATCTTTCAAAGCTTTATTATACAAAGTTAACTCCTTCATAAAAAACAAAGGTCTTATCTTCCTAAATCTACACGTAGCCTATGTATAAACTGCTTAGCTAAAATTATTAAACTGTTATACATTAAAATAGAGTCTGGTTGAACCAGGCTACATTAAAATGCCCATAAGTATCAAGTATTATTTTTTTCACCATCATGATCAGGAAGTAACTCGTAATACAATGAAACGAATAACTGAAACTGTATACAATTATTTTACACAAAATCAATGTTTTAAAATGCTTATTGTACAGTAATGTATAGCATCATAACATTACGTAGAGAGTAGGACGTTTCTTGTTCAATAAAAGCTGTTTCATGTGTAAAATACCCTCCAAATTACGTTAGATGGCGTTATTAGGTTTCAAATCTAAGCTCCGCCCCTCAATTACGTTCCTTGCGCTGGTGTTGGTTAGAATCTAACGCCGCCCCTCACTTCCGGTTCTGGCGCTGGGGTTCTGAAACTGGTGGTGCTGCGGTCTGCAGCTGGATACTATAGGAATCAACACACACCAATGCTACACGTTTCTTAAGTTGAGTAGATGAAATACCGAGCTCACCGTCTTCATCCAAAGACCTCAAAAGCCACCTCTAATAATCGTTAAAAATTCAAAACACAAAGAACTCGTTAAAAGCAGAGGAAAGCAGCTGAAGAACACCACATATGGGATGTACGATCAGTTCCCCAAACAAACTCAAGACCGCAGACTGCAACACCAAGGGACTTCACCTCAGCGGTCGCCCTACAGGTCGGAAGTGGAATTGTCCATTACCGCTGTCGTAAATCATTTATCCTACTGTCGCGCACGCACACACACGCACACATCTGACGTTTACGATGCATTTGTAAATCAGGAGAAGAGTTTTCGGGAAGGTCTCTTTACGCGCAAATCACTTTCACTCGTATTACGAATGTTTCATGATCATGAATGAGCCTCACTGTGAGGAACTGCAGGCCAACGGTGACGTCAGGCGCGTATACCCTCTATTAATAATTTCTGAACATTGAATCATTCATACAAGCATAGAGTAGAAAAACAATAATTCTAATCATTTGCTCATTGCAACGCAGTGTGACAACATGCCCCGCCTGCACAACTGGGACAAAGTTCTCTTAAATATAGGATTTAAACCCGGCTAGTACCAGCATTCAAGAACTGTCTCAACTGTTAATTAACAGGTATAAGATAAAATAATTTCAGACTTGTTTAAAATTAACACAAGAAACTTTTGCAATGGTTAAATAAATGTTCAGTAATATCTTCAATACATAGGCTATATACTTTTTAAATTCTATAGTGTTAATATGGCAACTAGAAAATTCGTCCGCTAACCTACATAATGTGTCGTGTTTCAAATCAATGCCAGTTGGAACTCCTAATCAAATGATAACATTAATTACTGCCAGGTGGTGGTTAATTAATTGAATTAACGAGATGAGTGCGTTCCTGATATGTTCAAGTCTGAAGAGTGGCTTGATAAGGGTTAGCCTTGGGTGATCTGTTCTCATGGCTGTGAGGGAGAGTTGTGTTTGGGAGAAGCTCATTTTCACCCTTTTTCTCTTTGCTGTTGATGGACTTAAAGAACCAGGTCAGTACCATTAGGATTTGAAGTGAACAGAAGCATTCTGTTTTTATGTTGGAGTTGTTTCCTAAACTTTATAGATGGTGAAAATAAGTTTTGTGAACCATTGAAGCTTTCCTTTGACACCATTACTACTCTTGGTTTGTTTGCCATCCAGTGATCAAATGGATGATGGTCCTGTTTTTTCCCCCCCACAGGTTATTCATGGTGAATTTCCCTGTGGTGATTGAGTCTGGATCTGACTCCAAATTATGCATAACTCCTCTGAAACCCCAAGAGATTGGTAGGGGGTTTTCCCTCTGCTTTTGTTTCCAGGTCTGTCATTAGATGGGTGTGGTTCTTTTTGTCTTGGTTTCTTGTATGTTAACTGAAGTTCTCTACAGGCTCCTCGGGTAGATGGAGATTTGGTGCAGAGGTTGAAGTTCAAGGGGTGGTCGAGGTCGCCTATCTTTGTGTCTCACTGTCTCATCGCTTCTCTGGCTACGTGGTGTGCTCCACCTCCATCACCTCCGGTAATCCCCTTGGTAGTGTTGGGACTCTTCACTCCATGGCTACTCCATTCTGCGCCGCCGCCGTGGGATGCAGTCCTGACTGTGGGCTTGGTCTCCGTCTGCCCTTCCCTGCTCAAGGCCATCCCCCCTGGCCGTCACCACCATCTGCACCAACCTTTTTTCATGGTTCTCTTCGGCTTTTTATTGCCGTCCGTCCGCCCGCCCAAGCCGCCCGCCCAAGCCGCCCGCCCAAGCCGTCCGCCCAAGCCGTCCGCCCAAGCCGTCCGCCCAAGCCGTCCGCCCAAGCCGTCCGCCCAAGCCGTCCGCCCAAGCCGTCCGCCCAAGCCGTCCGCCCAAGCCGTCCGCCCGTCCGCCCGCCCAAGCCGTCCGCCCGTCCGCCCGCCCAAGCCGTCCGCCCGTCCGCCCGCCCAAGCCGTCCGCCCGTCCGCCCGCCCAAGCCGTCCGCCCGCCCAAGCCGTCCGCCCGTCCGCCCGCCCAAGCCGTCCGCCCGTCCGCCCGCCCAAGCCGTCCGCCCGCCCAAGCCGTCCGCCCGTCCGCCCGCCCAAGCCGTCCGCCCGTCCGCCCGCCCAAGCCGTCCGCCCGCCCGCCCAAGCCGCCCGCCCGCCCAAGCCGTCCGCCCGCCCGCCCAAGCCGCCCGCCCGCCCAAGCCGTCCGCCCGCCCAAGCCGCCCGCCCAAGCCGTCCGCCCGCCCAAGCCGTCCGTCCGCCCAAGCCGTCCGCCGCCCGCCTAAGCCGTCCGTCCGCCCGCCCGCCCAAGCCGTCCGTCCGTCCGTTCATCCAAGCAGTCCGTCCAAGCCGCCCGTCTGTCCAGCCATCCGTCCAAGCCGTTGGATAAAATGTAGTCTTTGTTGTAATGGTCTATACTAACTTTTGTTACTGAATGTGATCTTTTAATGTGACGGGCAGAAGTAAGTCCGTCCGTCGGTCCAAGCCATCCGTAGCTGGAGGAAAGGTTGGTGCAGATGGTGGTGACGGCCAGGGGGGATGGCCTTGAGCAGGGAAGGGCAGACGGAGACCAAGCCCACAGTCAGGACTGCATCCCACGGCGGCGGCGCAGAATGGAGTAGCCATGGAGTGAAGAGTCCCAACACTACCAAGGGGATTACCGGAGCTGATGGAGGTGGAGCACACCACGTAGCCAGAGAAGCGATGAGGCAGTGAGACACAAAGAACTAGGCGACCGTGACTAGGCCGCGACGTCGCAGAATGGAGTAGCCATGGAGTGAAGAGTCCCAACACTAGTCTCCCAAGTTTTTGAGGTGAAAAAATACGGTAAGTTGTGTAAGGGCAGTTCAATGACCGATCTGAGGCCTTAATCTAAAGCGCTTTGTTTCTGGTTTAGTTTTGCCCAAGTTTGACGTGACCGTAAACGCACCACAGACCTACAGCGTTGCAGTTATGGGACTGAAAGTTGAGTCCTGTGCCAAGTGAGTGATGCTTTATTTTCTTGTCTTGTGGTTGGAAAGTTCTCTTTTTTTTTTTTCTTTTTTTTTTTCTTTTTTTTTTTTTAATCCTTTTGCCTGTGCTTGACTTAATTGTGTGTTTGTTCTCCTACCAGATGAATGCCACGGGCTGTGCCTCTCTTACTGTTGATGCGTCAGTGTTTTTCAACACCAAATTTGAAGACCAAATTCAAGACGCATTTCTTGTGAATGTTACTGAGGAGGGAACAGGTGAGCTTTTGGCTGATCTGAACTATATACTCTATCGTCTTTACAAGACCTCCACTTTAAGCCACAAAGTTGATATTCTTCACTGTTTGTTATGACTTTCTCTCGCAGATGTAATGGTCAAAATCTGCAATGGTGTCCTTGACAAACAAAGCTGTATATCTCTTGGAGGGGAGCAACTGGCCCAACAAACTGCTGTAGAATCGAACCACAAACAAGAATGGACGGGCCGCGTTCTCCCTAAACACTGCTAATCTTAAGGCTGATCTGAATCTGATGGTACGACTTGTATTTTGTAAAAATTAAGACTTTCTCTAGCCTGATGCTGATTAAGTTTGATCTCCCCCAGACGAGTGCTGATCCATCGTTATAAATCGCCATACTTCACTACAGATACAAGGTTTGTTCAGTTTCTCCTGACAACCCATCATTTGGTGAACTGACTATAGTGAAGCTCAAATGTGGTGCTTCGTTTGCAGTGACCGTGGAGTATTCATTTGTTGGAGAGGCTGGTAGCTACAGCGCTGATAATCTATATGGTGAGTGGACATTAGTTTTGTAGTTAAGTTTGCTGGTCTGTTTGTTCCACAACTTGCACATCTATGTGTTCTGTCAGGTCTTATCCAAAGGAGTGATCATCCTCCATGGATTTCAGACGGTTAAAGCAAAGGCTGGTGATGCAGTCACAAACGGCTCTGTGACGTTCCAGTTGTCCGTCAGCGTCGATATGACTCCAGCAGTGCAGATTCTGGTCCACAGCGTGGACATTCTCCCAGTGAGAATGCAGTTGCTGCTAGTGTGCCGTTTGACACCGATATGTGTTTCCAGAACCAGGTACTGTATGATGTGGTTATTTTTCAATTTGGGAGTGTTGGTGTGTGTCCTACAGCGTGTTGGTCCTTGTTCCAGGTGTCTCTGCAGTTTTCTACAGCTGTTCCTGCGGAGGGAAACGTTCTGATGGTTTCTCCTCAAGCAGGATCTCTGTGTGGTAGATCAGAGCATCCGGATCATGGAGCCAGGAAGACGTCTGAGTGCTGGAAGGGTGTCTGTGCCTCAATCAGGTTTTTCGTTTGAGCTTTTAATCTGAATATTTCAGTGTGTGGCACTTCGGATTAGAATGTCACTTTAGTTTATCCCAGTGTCTGAAGTACAAGGGCCTGAATTTTTATCGCAACTTCAGTGTCGGTATGTCTGTTAGTTTGATTCTTGTTCTAGAAATTGGTACATGACTTAAAGATAAAAGGAAAAAATGTAGGCTTGTGTTGTAATGGTCTATACTAGCTTTTGTTACTGAATGTGGTCTTTTAATATGACTGTCGGAACGACGTACGTCTATCTGTTCATGCGTCCGTCCGTGCATCTATCCGTCCGTGCGTCCGTCCGTGCATCTATCCGTGCGTGCGTCCTTCCGACACAAAGACCTGAGCGCTGCAGAATGGAGTAGCCATGGAGTGAAGAGTCCCAACATTAGTCTCCCAAGTTTTTGAGGTGGAAAAAATACGGTAAGTTGTTGTGTGAGGGAAGTTCAATGACGGATGTGAGGCCTTAATCTAAAGCGCTTTGTTTCTGGTTTAGTTTTGCCAAAGTCTGTAAACGCACTGCAGACCTACAGCGTTGCAGTTATGGGACTGAAAGTTGAGTCTTGTGCCAAGTGAGATGCTTTATTTTTCTTGTCTTGTGGTTGGAATTTATTTATTTATTTTTTATCCTTTTGCCTGTGCTTGACTTAATTGTGTGTTTGTTCTCCTACCAGATGAATGCCACGGGCTGTGCCTCTGTTACTGTTGATAATTCAGTGTTTTCAACACCAAATTTGAAGACCAAATGCAAGACACATTTCTTGTAAATGTGAATGTTACCGAGAAGGCAACAGGTGAGCTTTTGGCTGATCTGAACCATATACTCTTTATCATCTTTACAAGACCTCCACTTTAAGCCACAAAGTTGATATTCTTCACTGTTTGTTTGGACTTTCTCTCGCAGATGTAATGGTCAAAATCTGCAATGGTGTCCTTGACAAACAAAGCTGTATATCTCTTGGAGGGGAGCAACTGGCCCAACAAACTGCTGTTGAATCGAACCACAAACAAGAATGGACGGGCTGTGTTCTCCATAAACACTGCTGATCTGAATCTGATGGTACGACTTGTATTTTGTAAAAATTAAGACTTTCTCTAGCCTGACGCTGATTAAGTTTGATCTTCCCCAGACGAGTGCTGATCCATCGTTATAAATCGCCATACTTCACTACAGCGGATTCGCCCTCGCTGCTCATGCTGTTGATCCTCAGAGTCTGGGTGGTCTTAGCTGGGAACTGGGTTGTTGGCATTGTTGTCCACAGTTACGACGGTGAGTGGTAATCCACAAGACGCCAGCACCCACTCCACGAAGTCTGAATTTCTACTCGTATGAAATGAGGTCTTTATACACCACTTAGGTCAATTAATATCTCCAAATTGCTGCAGTAAAATGGTTTGAAATGAAGTGTTTATACTGTATGGGACGTCCCCTATAAGAAATAACCTTTGTTATTTTCTACTTATTAGGTATTTATGTGCTTCTGAAGTTGAATAATGCGACATTTCTCCAAAATACTGCAGTAAAATGGTATCACGGTTAGTAAATCCTAAGTCTACTTCTTGTCTCGTGTTTCTGTTATTGTTGTGTGTGTGTGTGCTGATTAGGGGGGGCGTACCGCTCAATCAGCGCTTATCAGCAATGTGTATATCTTCTCATCTCCTTTGTCAGATCGGTGTTTGTGGTTCCCGGTGTGTGTGTCTCGGGTCTCGCTCAGCCGTGTTCTTCCCTGGTTCTTGTTCGCCATTTCTTGGATTACTGTTCGTCGTTGGATTTCTCCACCGCTGCACCTGACCATTGGAGTCCCTGCTTCGCTAACCTGTGTTCCTGGATAGAGACTGTTACTTGTGTCATTTATTATAAATAAAAGAGTCAACTGCATTTGCTTCCGTCTGATCTATCATGACAAATGGTGTCTATACTGTATGGGACGCCCCTACAAGAACTGACCATTAGTTGTTGTTTTTTTCTACTTATTAGAAATGAGGTATTTATGTGCCTCTAAAGTCGAATAATGTGACGTTTCTCCAAAATGCTGCAGTAAAATGAAAAAGGAATGTAAGAAGGAAAAGTAGTCGTTACTGTCCACATCCACGCATGGTAATTTTGTTAACATTTTTTGCTGCTCCAGAAAATGAAAACAATTAAATTTATTTTTAAAAACCTAAAAGATTAGGGGCGTTTGATAACATTCGGGGCTTAAGCCCAATTAGCCACCGCCTCGCTCCGCCCCTCGAAGGGCTTGCGGGGATAGCATCATAAACAAACACACTTCTAAATACAACAACTTAAATATGATCAGTTTCACCTCAGAAATAAAGCGGGTAAGTATTTGGCAAACATGTTACAATACAAAAAAAGACCAATCACCCATTCCCACCCATTTTGTACACTTTAAGTAAAACTACGCAGGGCCCTCAAGAAATCAATAATACCCTTGATTTTTTTTATTTGATTTGAGATCTTTATTTTGAACATGTAAATAATAAATAAAAATACAGATATTAATCAATGAAAAAAGGAATATCAATTAAAAGAAACAAAACAAAAACAAACAAAAAAAACAAAACAACCCTCTATTTACATGTGTTTAAGGAGTAGGAAGAAGTAAAACTTATGTACTTCTACCCCCCTATACCATATTTAAACAAATACCTAAAAAAATAAATAAAAAATAAATAAATAAAAATCTAAATAAGTAATCAATCTATAATCCATGAAAGTATTGATTCAGAAGTTCTATACACATAAGGATGTTTCCCGATACATGACAATATTTATACTACGGGTTAATTCAATATAAGCTCAAGTTAACACTATGTTTCTCTGTAACTCTGGAATATAATTTCTTTGAACATCTTTTTAAAATGAATTATGTTTGGACATTGCTTAAATTCATTATTTAGATTATTCCACAACTTAACACCACAGACAGACAAACAGAAACTTTTCCTAGTTGTTCGATAACTGGTAGTCTTGAAGTTTGTCCTTCCCCTTAAGTCATAACACCCCTCTCTTTCCAAAAACCTTTTCTGTATACTACCAGGCAATACATTTTCCCTTACCTTAAACATAAATATTGCTGTTTGAAATTCAATTAGATTAATTAGTTTTAGTGCTTTAGATTGTAAAAATAATGTGTTGGTGTGTTCCAAATATCCTGTGTTATGAATAATTCTAATTGCTCTTTTTTGAAGCATAAATAATACCCTTCGCCAGCTCTACCGGCACCCAACCTCTACAATCTGAAACTGACTCTTTTCTTATCAATCTGGACCTTCCCTCGTTAACCACAGAACAATCAAACTCTTTATTAAAACTCATCACCCCTGAAAAACTCAAAGCCTTACAAAGCAAATCACCGGGACTATCTTATCACAGAAATCCAAACCACATGTACCATTCCCACATATATGAAGAACACGGCGCTCATTACCGATTTACGGAAACCCAACACATCCGCTATCATTAATCAACACTGATCTGAAGATTATCACAAAGACTCTAGCGACCAGGATTGAAACAGTTATGCGTTCACTGATTCATCCAGACCAGACAGACTTCATCACAAACAGAAATGCAACAGACTTTTCAATCTTATCATTATTGACCAAGGACAGCCACAAAAAACTATAGTTGCATCACTAGATGCAGAAAAAGCATCGACGCGGTCAACTGGACATTCTTATTCACCACCCTCCGTGAATTTGGTTTTGGAGAGTCTTTCATCCAATGGATAACACTATACACTTCCCCAAGCTTCACTCTGAGGAACCGGACGGGGACGCCCACTCCCTCCATCTCTCTTTGCCACATTCACTGAACCACTTGAAGCAGAAATACGCCACAACAACTAAATTAAAGGAATCCAAGTCAGCAACTCTAAACACAAAATGATTAACTATACTCACAAACTCCATCCCAATCACTCAACGTCATCAACAAATTCTCAAAAATCTCTGGAACAAATCCACTATACCTCCGCTATCAGGAGACGATGTGGACTCACGACCCTTCCCTTGCCCTCAACACGGGTCACATCCAGTACTTAGGCATATTAATGTCCCCCAGGCCGTCAGAGCTCTACAACCTCAATTATGCCTCACTCTTCAAGAAAATAGAAGATGATTATAAACGATGGACGAGCTCCCACTAATAGACGCACCCTAGCGGCAGCAAAGATTATTCAGCAGCCAGTGTGGTCTATCAACGTCGAGCTGGAAAACCCAAACTCTGATCCGGCCAATCACATCGGGTATAGAGTTGGTGGGCGGGATTAACACAATGACGGCAGAGTTGTGACGGTTCCGCATGATTTCCACAAAGAAGATGCTTTGAACCGGCTTTGGCCGCGACTCTGGAGGACTTGGAGTTAAGAGAGCGTCACTTAAGTCATTCTTAAAAAAGGAAGATGTGTTTGGAGTTGATGGCAAAAGTTTAATATGTCAACTAGCTCCGCTGGTGGAAAGATACTCACGTACGTCTGCAAGACGTCTGTTAAAGATCCCTTCATCTGGAAAGCTCTTCATCTGCTGTTTACGAACATCTGATTGAATAGACGTCTCTGTGATGTATGTGTGCTATCAGGGATGGGACAGCGCAGTCTCATCCCAAGACATCATATAACTGACGTCTCTTGACCATACGTCAATATTCGCCTTTTTAGGGCCCCCTTAAACGTCGGTAGATGAGGTTATGGGATCCTAACTCTAAACCTAACCCGTCACCTAACTAACGTTAAAGGTAAAGCGTCAGTTGTATTACGCACGGGATCGCCATCTACCGACGTTTAAG